GGTTAAAAGTTGGGTGACCATGAGTAATCTGACCTGTACATCGTATAGAAGTCATACTTCACAGGAATTATCTGAAAGGGTATATTTTTCTGGGGAGAATATTGGAAGAGATCAGTCTGGGGCTGTTCAGTAAGTGCGGCTTTCAGTCTCCTGAGTTCCTTATGAAGAATGCTCTCACAGCCCAGCCAGCATGACTCAGTGGTTGAACATCAATCTATGAACCAGGAGGTCACGGTTTGATTCCCATTCAGGGCACATGCGTTGGGTTGCGGGCTTGATCCCCATTATGGGGCATGCAGGAGGCAGCTGGTCAATTATTCTCTCTCATCATTGATGTTTCTCTCTCTCTCTTCCTCTCCATTCCTCTCTGAAATTAATAAAAACGTTAAAAACAAACAAAAATCTCTCACATCAGAGGCAGTGGGATTTTTGTATGCCCATCATGAGTTCTTGTCAGATCCTAAAAAGTCTGAGTTAGGATTACCAAGTCTTTTAAACCCCAAACATAGATCCTGAAACATCAACAAGATTCCCTAGTGGTTGCAAAAATTACCTTTTCAAGCCTCATCTCTATGATATACCGTATTTTTCCGTGTATAAGACACCCCCATGTATAAGACGCCCCCACTTTTCCAACCTAAAATTAAGAAATCAATATTTTAAACATTTTGCTGGCTTCCTCTTAAGGCCTTCTTCTTTTTTGGCATCTTTTCTCCACTGTCTGTTCATACACTCAGTGGAAGGAGGTCCAAATTGTCTCTCTGCAGCTCTATTTCCATGCTCTTTTGCATAGCTGATTACATTCAGTTTGAATTTTGCAGAGTAACACAATCACTTACTGGTATTTATCTTTTTATTTTTTGACATCTTTATGGGCTCAGAACGCTCTGGTCCCTATTGCATCTGCACACTCTCCACCTCCACCTCCAATTATGGCATCAGCTGACGTCAGTAACACTAACGCTTGTGTTTAGAGGAAGCCTGTTTGACAAGGTATGGGCGGCTATGCACCCGCGCGGCTCCCTCTTTGGCTGACTTCTGTGTATAAGACGCCCCTTGGATTTTCAGTCTAACGATTTTAGAAAAAAATAGTGTCTTATACAGGAAAAAATATGGTATTAGTTATATGGGTTCAGGGTCCAATGTCTTGGTATGCATCAAAGTGCCATCTTGCTACACTGGCCATATCCTATATAATAAAAGCCTAATATATTACTAGTGTCTGGTCAACCGGTCGGCCGTACAACTAATCAAAACATAATATGCTAATGTATGCTAAGGCCGCTCAACTGCTTGCTATTATGTGCACTGACCACCAGGGGGCAGATGCTCCTACCAGTAGGTTAGCTTGCTGCTGGGGTCCGGCCAATCGGGACTGAGTGAGACAGGCTGGACACACCCTGGAGCCCTCCTGCAGTCCCTCCCCGGCCCCGATCATGCACTGGTGGGGTCCCTTGGCCTGGCCTACACCCTCTTGCAATCTGGGACCCCTCAGGGGATGTTGGAGAGCCGGTTTTAGCCTAATCCTGCAGGCCAGGCCGAGGGACCCCACTGGTGCATGAATTCATGCACCAGGCCTCTAGTGTTCTATAACAGCGACTTGGCATCATAGATACAGAGTTGTCCTGAACCTCTGCAATGATGAACAGCCAGTGAACATGTGCAATGGGTTCTCTACAAGGTCTCAGTGGTAGGCCAGTGCAAGGCTTTTCTGAGGGCCACATACTGTTCTAAACACTAGGCATATAAAGTTGAAGACAGACCCCTAACTCCTACCTGTAAGAGACTCAAATGGAAAAGGGTTTGCCAATATCCAGTGACATTAAGGAAAGAAGTATCCTGGGCAATCAAGCCCTAGTCTTACCTCATGAATCCACTGGCTAAACACGTGTCTTAGTCTTGTCTGCCAGTGTCCCAGTAACTGAAAATTGGCATGTCAAGATTTGATAGGATAGCTTTAAAATTGCTTGAGCAATGATTCCTGCAATGTAGTTCAAGTATAAAAATTTAATTCCAGTTTTCTTAGTTTAATATGGAGAGTGCATCTAGTCAATGAACCCAACACTAAATTACTTTACGGATTTCTGAGAAAGTGCAGATGCCTGAACTAATCTGTGAGAATTGATCAAGCTCTTTCCCCATGCCAGGCATTGTGCTAAGAGCTTTATGTGGATTATCTCCATTAATTCGCAAACCACTGAAGTAAGTACCATTATTATCTTCCATTTTACAGATGAAGAAAGTGGGTCTGAGCCAGGACTCAGGCCCAGGATGTCTGGGACCCGTCTCCCCAATCGTTGTGATAAAACATTTCCTCGTGCAAGATTGACTCAGCCCATGGCCTTTCTGCTTGACGAACGTTAACACATAGGATGTGTTATTCAGCAGAATAGTGAGGGTCAGCAGGTGGCAGGAGACAAGGATGACATTAGCAAAGGCATTGAAGGATAATGTCCAGATCTCTTCCTTTGCCTTCTTTTGCATACAATGCTATGGAACAGATTCTGATGCTCAAAAATCGCTTTTTCTATCTTTGTGATGAATAAAGAACTTTTATTTTTTTATTTTTATTTTTTAAAATATATTTTATTGATTTTTTACAGAGAGGAAGGGAGAGAGATAGAGAGTTAGAAACATCGATGAGAGAGAAACATCGATCAGCTGCCTCCTGCACACCCCCTACTGGGGATGTGCCCGCAACCCAGGTACATGCCCTTGACCGGAATCGAACCTGGGACCTTTCAGTCCGCAGGCCGACGCTCTATCCACTGAGCCAAACCGGTTTCGGCAGTGATGAATAAAGAACTTTTAAATTGTTAGAGAAGAGCAAGAGAAGTAAGATATAAAGTTATTATTTCTACCCCAAAATCTCAATTGGTTAAACATGGGCAAATTCTGACAGCTTTCAGTTCTCCATCTGGACTACCCATTTCATTCATTTCTACCTTCCTCCTGGACAACTCCTTTCTTCAAGATTCAGCTCAAGGGTCACTTCCTTCAAAAAGTCACCCTAAGTCCCAGATTTAATCAAGTGATCCTTCTCTGTTTTCCCCACCATCAGAGCACCATAACTGTTTGTGGGTTTTCTATACTAATAGACAAGTATGGAACTTTATGAACAACTTAATACAAAGACTGTTTTACTCTTCTTTATATACTCAGACATGTAACAGAGTGGCAGATGTATAACAGGTACTCGATAAGAGAATGAATGAGTGAATGAATGAATGAATGAGTACATCCTGGCATAGACCAGCTGGATTTGGTCTGCTTGTTACCAGAGTCTACCTTCTAGAACTCAGTTATCCATCCCTGGGTTGCCGTATGGAGCATGTTCACCCTCACAACTGGAGACCGAGCACATGGTCTAACAAAAATTTAATCCTGGAAGAGATAACAGAGATAAGCTCATCCAACCTCTTCTTTCTAGAGATATAGAACAAAGACTAAGTGGATGGGAGGACTTTCCCCAAAGTCACCTCAATGGTCAAGGACAGAACTGAGAATGGAACTTAGACTTTCTGACTCCTGAGCCAGAGACCTCTGCCACCTCATCAGCGTTCGCCCCACAGGAAAGGTCTCTTCCTGTATGCCCTCTGAGGACAGCCTGTCTTCCTGGTGAAGAGATTTGTCTACATTAAGAAATCTTCAAAGTAACAAATGAAAGTTACAAATGAAAAGTGAATTCATGTTCCCACATATTGTTGAAAACTATTCACAGAGTCTCTTGTCCCCCAACCACCGCTTCTAAAATATGTTTCAAAAATTCAGTTACTTCAGGGCATTGTTTATTTTTTTCTCAAATAATTCCGTGCACAAAAGAAACTTAGAAAGTGTTAGAGATTGCTTCTTATTTCAAAATGAACAGCCAAGGACATCTGCCATAAAGAAAATTTTCATTTCAGCCAGAACATTGATTTCAATAAATCTGTTCAAAGAAATAAAGTGGCTATTCTTCCCTTTGGTAAAATATACTTAAAGCTCACAAAAATATTTTGTTAATAGAAATGTTAGCAAGCAATGACAAAAACGTAGACTGATGCCATTGAAATGTAGCATAAGACCCAATAGTCACTAGAAATTAAGATATTGCTTTAGTAGACAGTCTGTAACAGTTTGCATAACCTTTTGATAGGCATTGCTGGTGCAGTGGGAAGAATAAGGGCTATGGAAGCAGGAATGTTTGCTTAAGTCCAACTCTGAGATATTAACTCTGTGACCGTTGACAGAGGATTTAATCCCTTTAGTTCTGTTCCTCAATTGGAGAAATATTTAATGAGCACATACTAAGTGCTGGCTCTTCCTTAGGCTGTGTACAGCAGTGAGATAAAGAGTTTTAGAAGTCTACCCTCCTCAAGCTTACATTCTCATAGGGAGAGACTTTGGGAGACAACCAACATGCTCCCCCCGCCAAAAAAGTAGGAAATATATAGTATGTTACTTGGTGGTTAATACAATGGAAAAAAAAAAACAGGTGGGGGAAAGGGAGTGTTGGGAAGAGAGTGACTTTAAATAGGATGATCAGGGACGATGTCACTGAGAAAGTGGCATTAGAAAGAGGGCTGAAGGAGTGAAGAAATAATCAGGTAGATATATGGGGATAGAGTTCTCCAAGTACAGAAAATGGTAAGGTCAAAGGCCCTGGGGTGGGTCACATGGTGTGTTCAAAGAGCAGCAAGAGGGCTGCATATCTAGGGCGTCAGGAGTAATGGGGAGAGTAATGGGGAGATGAGCTCAAAGAGGTGTAAGAAGAGGGGAGGCAGAGGGCCAGACCTTGTAGGACCTTGTAGTCCAATAAGGACACTGGCCTTCTTTTCTAAAGGAGGTGGGAAGCTTTTGGAGAGTTTTGAGCAGAGGAGTGGTATGGTCTGGTTCTCCGTTTTCAAAGATCGCACTCTATTGACAATTAACTAGGAGGGAAAGGGTGAAAGGGAACAGTTAACAAGGCTATTGAAATGAACCAGGAAGAGTTCACGGAGACTTGGACTAGGTGAGTAACCATGGAGAAAGTGAGAGATGGTCAGATTCTGAGTCTAATAGTTAAAGGTAGAGCCATCAGGAATTGCTGATAGACTGCAGGTTGAGAATTGAATGAGACAACATGAATAAAATGTTAGTGTCATCTGGTACAATTAATGAGCTCAAACTGTAAGCAATTCCTCTATCTCCCTTCTTGTTGGTGATTAGTATTATTAAATGCTAACAGTCATTGAGTATTTACAAAGCAGCAGACACTGTACCCATTCCTCAGTAAATGGTCCTTCCATGTTTCTGGGATCTTACTGAGACTGTGTAAGTGCCTGAGGCTAAGACTAACAGTAGTTGGCGTATTAATGCCAAAAGTCCCATGGACTTTGATATTCAGCAGGGCTGAAAGTCAGCATAATATTGCCCTGCTGTTGGCCAAATGGCTCAAGGCAATTCCCTAACCTGATAATCCTTTTACTGTTTACCAAACTTTACCTTTGATATGCCTGTTTGCATTTCTAAGGGCAAATGTGTATTCAAGTGATTAAAATGCAGACTGGACTGAGTTTTGGGGGAGCTACTCCACTAGAGAAAAGTTTTCTGCCTGGCCCCCCATGCCTTCTAAATTCATATTTCTTGTCTAGTGTATTCATCTGTGCTCGGTCCTTTCTTCAGATCCTGAACCCTAGCTACAAATGGATGCGGCATTCATATCTAAGCTCTTAGAAGGAAGTTATTTGGGATTTTATTGACTGTTTTGTTATTTATTGGCCTCCCCCATATTCTCTTCATATTTTCAATGGTCATCAGACCCATGAGAGAAGACTCGATCAGTAACTTCTCTGGCCTAGGCTTTTCCCATTTGTTTCTTCATCCTGATTCACCCGGAGGGCAGTGGCATATGCTCTGGGCCTAAAAGCATGCATCCCTTCTCACTCCTGTGCAGCGTCAGGTGGATCATGGGAGACAGGGCTAAACCCTTTGCCAACCCTGGGTCTCCTTTATGTTGACTCCCCTGGAACGACCTCAATGTAGTAGAAATTCCCCCCAGACAGCAACCGGCGCTTGTTCAAGCTTTCTGCTGCTGCTTTGGGGATAGGGGGAAATGGGAGACGTGCCAGTCATGACCAGCCCCTGGACACCAGTGACCTCCGTGGGGAAGAGAGAAGCTAGGACTCGAGTGTCCCAGAGGTGCACTTGGGTGGTCACAGTCTGGCTTTTCTCATTCCTCGGATACACTCTCTTTCACTCTTTGAAACGAATACCGATTTCTCTCCTGAGGATCCCCTGGTCAAAACCTGTCAGTCATGAGACATCACAACTCTCCTAAACAAAGAGCGTGTAGGAGAGTAGATTCCTGTTCTGTTCTCACAAGACTGTTTCTAAGGGAGCGTCTTCTTGCCGAGTGACTTAAATGAGCCGGTGGCTCCATTTCCTGTATCTGAGAAATGGACATCCCTGCATTCTGGCATGATTGAGACCTGAAAAGTCAGGCTTACCCAGATATGTCATATCATAATCTGTTTTTGCTGAATGACATGGGCCATTGGAATGATCCTGATATTTTCTAGTACAATCACAAGGTTCTTCATGAAGAGATGAAACGTCCCCCAAGTGAGCAACTGCTGCTCCAGGGTGAGGGGGCCTTTCTTTCTCTTACGGACACGCATTGTGCTTAATGATTTATTTATACCGTCTCGTCTCACGTGCTTCTTGCTGCTCTCCTGTAGGGTAAGCGTTATTATCCCTAATGGGCAGATAAAGAAAGAGACTAGAGAGGTTAAGGGTTTTGCCCAGACCACACAGCAAGTAGGTGGAGCTCACATTCGAACCTAAGTTCACTTCCCTGTATATAAACTTTGGCCTGACTGAAAGTTTGAACTTTTCACCTCCAAATGCTATTGTCCCCCTTAGGGATAAGGTTCAATAACGTGGACCGGGGCTGAGAGTGGCAGGATCCTGCTGTGATCTCGCACTTTGTAAAGCCCACATGGCTTCACCTGGAGCCATTCTGGCAGCCGTTAAGTTCAGAGATAATGTCTCTTCAGCTTGGGCAGGCTCGCGGTGCCAGGAGAAGACAGACGACCCACGGCTGTGCACGGTATCGTTGCGAGCGAACGTGCCACCTCGGAGTCTTGGGTTGCCATCCCCTGGAGTGTGTTCATGTGATCAGTTGATCAGTTGTCAGTTTCAGGTCTGTTGTTTCTCTCTCCAGAAGCCCAGCCGGTGGAAGAGGACAGCCCCAAAGCCCTGCCTGCACTCAGGGAGCTATCGAACTCGGATAATGACATAAACAAGGCGGCATTCATCTGGGGAATCGCAGACAAAGCAGCCCAGAGGAAAACCATCGCTGTCGATGAGGGCTTGTTTCACTTGCAACAGGAAAAGCAGCAGCAGCCGCCGCAGCAGCCGCAGCAGCTGCCTCCGAGCCCGGAGCCCGTGCACAGGCTGGGAAGAGGTAGAGGAAGGCTGAAGCTGCCACATGTGAGTAGCAACTGATGATTTCTCTGCAGCTGGGGAAGGAATGCTGGGGAGGGGGCTCCGCAGGGAGGTGGGCGAGCGCGTGTGGGTTGGGGCTTTGAGGCTGGAGTGGGAGGGATGGTTCGCACAATTAACAAGTGCATTCGGGATCTGCCCTCCTCTTCCAAAAGAGGTGCAGGCGTGTGCCCACACGCACTCGCACGTCCTCCGCTGATGCTAATAGATGCGAGCAGCAGGTGGGCAATATTTCTTTTCTTCTTCTTCTTCTTCATCCTTGAGAGTGGGCTGTGCGGCAGAAAGACACCTCAGCCCGAGAGAGCTGTCCAGGGCGAACGGACTCCCCCAGAGGGTTTCTTTCCCAACTTTCTTTTGTGGATGTGTTGATCTCCATGCCTTTGCCATCCCACCACGCTCCTATGGGGCATTTACATCCCGCTAGCCACAGAAGGGCAAGGGGCACTTTTGCATCTCTGGTTCTCAGCTCGAGTTGTCTGTAGCGAACAGCACCAAATCCAGGGCAGTTTAACCTCGCAGGTACAGGAGTTCGGTAAGCACAGCCCGGCCCGGAAGAGCACGGCTCTCATGCATCTTGTCCGCCCGGGGCAGAGAAGCAGGTGTCTTAGGGATGCCAGGGCTGATGCCATGTTGAACTTTGGGGAATATTTTCAATGTTTTGTTTTGTTTTTTTAAAGCAAGCCTGAAATTTCCTGGGAACCTCTTGGATAGACTGAAGCTGAGAAAGGACAGGAAAGAATTTGTTTTGCTTTAAAGCACCGGTGCAGCCGGCCCCAGGTTGTCTCTGCATCGGGATATGTCTCTGCTCGTATCTCTGGGATATTGTTAGTGATGCTACACAGTGTGCAGAGCGCCAGCCCACCTGGCCCTAAACTTGCTTGCATTCTGATTATCAGAAGACATGGTTGTCAGTTTCTTGTTTGTTTCCCTACCCTTGCTTCTCTCTTTAGAAGCTTTGCTATGGCTGAGTGCTTGGTGCTGAATGTTTAAATGCTCGAATGTCTGCAGTAAATGCGTAAAAGTTCCCTTCTGAGGGAGGGGGAGCAGGGAGGGACACTTGGCTTTGAGCAGGCTTTGAGCAGCCGTGTGTAATGAGAGTGGGGGAGTCTGAGACACTTCACGCTGGGACTTGGCTGGGAGGAGAGCCATCAGCCGATGCTGGGATGCAGCACTGAAGGCTGTTACACTGGAGGGTCGGAGCCCTAGCTCCCAAGTTGCTATGGCGAGGGGGAGGGGATAGGGGGAGGGTGTGCATGAAATGTGAACCAGGCATCATGGGAATCTTCTCACTGAGGCCCTGCCCTGCAACCTTTCTCGCGCCATGGCCCTGCAGGGTAGACAGGTGAGGCTGCTCAGAGCTGGGGAGGAGTGGCTAGAGGCCTCTTGGCACCCAGGTTGGGAGGATCTAACTTAGGCAACCCAGGGAAAGCCAAAGAAATGCGTCAAGATGCGGAGTCTGATGTCCAGGCTCTGTTAGTATTTATGTTTTTATTGCTAGTAACAATGCATTGTGGAAATATTATGAAGTGTTTTTAAAAGACTGTCTCCTAATCCCTTTTAGCACCCCTGGTTCTCCCCTTTGCTCTCCCCGCAGGCCTTTTGTGACACAGTTGTAACCACAGTCTAGATATAGTCCTGAACTCTGCTTCTTGCCCCAGTATTATTCCATAAATACTTTCTCATCTTCCAGTCCTGCTTTCACATGGATGGTTAATTGTGTGGCTGGATTAAGTGGATTGATCCCTTAAATGGATATGCTGTAATCTGTTTAGCGATTGTTAGCTATTTAAATTGCTTCTAGTTTTTCCGTAATTGTAATGCCACTGTGAATATGTCTGTGCATAGAGCGGTTTTACTTCCCTTTCTTTAAAAAATCAAAAATCGGAGGGGGAATGAATTTTTAACACTGACATTGGGGAGGGTAAAAAAAATGAACATTTTTGTGGCTTTTCCTTCCTATTAACAAACTGTTCTCTGAGACATATTTCCAGTGTCCAAAACCATCAGTAATATGGTAGATATTATTTTTATCTAGAGCCTTATACATATTAGATTACCCCCCCCCCCTAAATTAGGAGTTATAAGAAGGTACTCGTCCCTTTTGTTAAGCTGGCTTTTCAGTCCGATGAAGCCAGGCAATATCCCTCTCCCTGGGACAATTCTGCAACTTCCCAGGTTCGCTTCCTGTGTCAGTGCCTCACACAAGGAACCCAAGTTCAGCAACCTCCCTGTTGCATCTCCGTAGGTGCTGGGGGCAGGCGGGGCGGGAAGGGGGGGCCCGCAAAGCTCTCCGTCCTGTGCCAGGGCTTCCCAGAAGGATGAGTAGGGCCGTGGAAGAGGAAACCAGCCCAGAATGGTCTCCAAGCCCTTCCGCCCCTGACAGAGCCTGCTCAAGGCGAACTCACTCCTGGGCAGTTTCGGGGCTGAGGCCTGGCAGGTAGGGGGTGGTGGGGCAGCTGCTCCTGGGGAAGGTGAGGACTAGCCAAGTTGTTGGGAGGAAAATGGAAATGCTGTGTGTTCTTCTCCCAACTGCTCAGGCTTTAATGACGGAGGGCAGCCAGGGCCGAATGCCAGCTCTTATCAGACAAGAGCTGTAAAAGCGCCTCTTAGCCTCCCTCCCTCCTATAAGGACAATTTTACCAACAATTTACTTCTTTTATATCCTCTTCTCTGCGATCTGGCCAATTTGGAGATTAAGCGGTGCTGTTCCGGCCTCCTGTGTAGCTCACCATAAACTGCTTCAGTGCTAATCTCTTTTTTATTCCGTAATCATTTGTGCAAAAGCCAAGAGGGGTGCCGTGCAGAAGCCCAGCGTGCACTAGCCCACCCCCACCTACGCCAGTGGCAAGTGGCAGTATCTGGGGAGCAAGATTTTCCTGCCCCTGTGAGAGCTGGTCTGAGAAAAGTAGGTGCGTTAGGGGCGCTATGGACTCGTTCAGCCTGCGAGGGCTTAACGGAAGCGCTGCTTCTCGAAACTGGTGGGCCAGTGGCACCTGGCGGGGCCGTGGGCTGAGAAGGGAAGGCGGTCTTGCTGCTTCCGGGGATGGACAGACCAGTGTGCTCACTGTCGGCCAGCGAATAGGGCCTTGGTCTGCGGAGGAGAGGACAAGAGGCTTTAGATTATAGCAATGAGTTTAAACAAGACTTTAGTGAGGACATCCCATCTGATAACACTCCTCAGTCTTTACTGTATTATTATTATTAATTTTTAAAATCCTCAATGGAGGATTTTTTCCCCATTGATTTCTACAGAGAGTGAAGGGAGGGTGGAGGGAAGAAGGGAGAGAGAGAGAGAGAGAGAGAGAGAGAGAGAGAGAGAGAGAGAGAGAAACATCGATGTGAGAAAGACACATCCATTGGTTGCCTCCTGCACACACCCCGACCAAGGCTGGGGAACCTGCAACCGAGGTACTTGCCTTGATGGGGAATCAAACCCTGGACTCTTTGGTCTGTGTGCCAACGCTGTAACCACTGAGAAAACTGGCCAGGGTGATCTTTACTGTATTGTCGCTTTAAGGTCTAGCTTTTCTGCAAGATTATCCTCTGGGAGAGCAAATAGAGTTTCTGCTTTATTTATTGCACATCCCCATTAATAACAGCTTCCACTTACCAAAGGTTTGCCAGGTGCCAGGACGTTTTAAGTCTTCCATCTACATGAGTGCATCTAATCCTCACAACAATTGTATGCAGTGTTGACTATTATTATTCCCATTTCACAGATTTGAAAATTGAGACATGAGGAGGTGATGCTGAAGGGTAGACAGAGCCTCGTGACTGGGGCCAGGGGACAAGGAGGCGGAGGCATTGAGAAAAGAGTCTCATGCCACTTGAAAGTGTCAGGACGACAATTTGAGCCCAAGCAGTTTAACTCTGAGTCTGTGTTCTTAATCACGGCACCATCAACTCAGTTATCATTGGCATGGGAATGATTGAAAGTCTAAACACTGCTATACAGCTAGAATGCACCAGAGTAATGATGATAATGATAATGGTGGTGATTTTTATAACAAAATGACTAAGTATTCACCACGCACCAGCCACTTTTGACGGAAACTCTGCGTGTGCATTTTGAGTTATTTCTCACAACGGCCTTATAAGAGGCCACCATCCGTATCTCTACTTTACCAACGAAGAAGCCCGGGCTCTGCCATGTTATACACCTGTCTAAGGTCACAGAGCGAGGGAGTCTGACTGACATCTGTTATCTGTGGCCGCACCTCACTGATACCAACAAGTGAGCACTGGATCGAGGGCCAAGCATCACAGCAAGGGATTTCCCCGGGAAAGTGGAGGTGGGATCCATGGTCCCTTCTGGTCTCTTGCAGCATAGGGTTCTGGGTGGCTTTTAGAATCCCCCTCCCAGGATGCTGCACAGAAAAGTTAGGTCTCAGTCATGTCTGGTCCTGCCTCAAAGGTAGAAGGTCTTGAAGAAAATATCGCCATGGGGCCAGTCATTGGTGCACTGGTAAGGAAAGGACAAGATTCCCGGCGGAGCCCCCTCCTGGTTCAGTGTCCTAGACCCGCACCATTCAACATGGTGGCCTTTAGCCACATGTGGCTGCTGAGCACTAGTTCAGCCCAGCCGGCATGACTCAGTGGTTAAGCTTCGACCCATGAACCAGGAGGTCACTGTTCAATTCCTGGTCCGGGCACATGTCCGGATTACAGGCTCCATCCCCAGTAGGGAGCATGCAGGAGGCAGCTGATCAATGATTCTGTCTCATCATTGATGTTTCTATCTCTCCCTCCCTCTCCCTTCCTCTCTGAAATCAATAAAAAAATGTATATATTTTTAAAAGGAAATGTAGCTAGTTTAAACCAAGGTGTACCATAGTGTAAAAATACACACCAGATCTCAACAGCTTAGTATTTACCGTAAAAAATGTAAACTATTTCAATAAATTTATATTAATTGACACATTGAAATGATGTTTGAAATATATTCCTAAAATTAATTTTACCTATTTTTCCCTTTAAAAAATTGTGGT